CCCCAAAACCCCAAAACCCCAAAACCCCATACATTAAAATATAAAAAATAGAATAGAACGATAATAAACAATTCAAAAATTTAAATTTTCAATAAATTTAATTTCTTAACCCCATCGAGTTAAAATGAACACTCATAATCAAATCGATACTACAACCAATGGTAATCAGCCTGACTTCAACTTGATAAAGCCTAACAAATATCACAATTAAAGGTCTCAAAGAGCAAGCAACCCTATGAATGTCTAACTTAACCCCAACAACACAAGCATTTGCAATAACACTTCTTAGATACTCAAAAGATGATTCTCTCCATCTATTATGGGCTCTAACAAATTTTTCCCAAGAGATTTTTTCGCATAGTAGCAATTACTTTCCTAGAATATCGACATGTCAATGGTAAACAGAGCTTCATTTGCGTTAGGTGAGATTAATCAGTAATTTAAGACTTTAGATGAGAGATAGAATCAAAGACCCATTCCTCAAACTAAAAAGCCTCAATCCTCTTAAAATACCCAGAGAAACTTGAATCTCGTTCAAGCTTCCAACTCAAATATCTTCGACGCTAGAATCAAAGTTGTACATCAAAGAAGATCTAGCAATAATAGTCACTAGTCAATGGGTCTCTAGATCCCTGGCAAAAACATTCAGCCTCTAAACCAGCTATCAGCTCTCAAAGATATATACACCATCAATCCACTATAAAACCCCAATCACTCAATGATTAACGACGGTGGAGAGATATCAATTATTCAATAAGATAATCAGACATTTAGCAGGAGACAAAGAACTATAGATTTTATTGACCGAACATAAGAGATAAGGAACATATAGGAGTAAATCAAGGGAGAGATTGCAGCATCTAATTCTAATAAATCCTATTGTGACTTGAATATGACTCAATCAAATTTAAATCAAAATGATGATAATAGCATTAGCAATTTATCCATGGATCAAGGGCATATATTTAAAACAAATTAGAAGAAAGATCCTGTTGTAGATGAATTCATTATCAAAAAGAGCAAATTGTAATACATTCAATGTGGAAACAAGAAAATTAAAGTAAAGAGTATACAGAGATATGGATCAGGGACAAGGAGACCTGATTTGAAAACAGGGAGCACTGGGCTATCTAAATTACAGTCAGTCAGAAGCTATAATGATGGATCAAAAATATAAATAACAGACTAATTAAAGCCAGTAGATGATGATTCCTAACTCTATCATAATTTTATCTCTGACTCTTCAATTTTAGATATTGACAAAGAGAATACAAACACTCTTAACAGGCATTAAACCTTCTTCAGTGGAGGTAACCCAACTAAGGATAGAGAAGTTATCCTGCAAAAGGTAAATAATGCCAGACTCAGGAAATACTCTAGATAATAAAATGAAAAGTCAATTGAGTAGTAGCATTAAGCTTAAAACATGAACAATAATAAATAATTTTAGCAATTCAGGAAAAGATTTGCTCTTTCCAAGAATGTCTCATCAAAGAATATGCAACAATTAGGAGATAATAACACTAATAAGGAGTCTTAACATAATAAGCAATTTAACTAGACAAAGGAGCTAATCTTTTAATCTAAAATTTAGAGCACCCCATATTTTAATAGAACTAGTTAAAATGTTAGTGAAAATGTTGCTAATATGCAGATTACATTTAACTCTTAACAGTTTAAATCAATAAATACCGAGAATGAAACGGGTCATGAGATTCAGCCCAGCAATACCAATATATTTAGAAGATCCAGGAATTCCATGCATATTTAGGGAACTTAGTTATCTTAGCCCTAGATAAGTTAAAATCTATTCAATACATCGAATGAGCAAGACTAATGCCACAGTCATTAAATTAATAAAAAACTAATGAAAAGTCCAATCATTAAAATTCCACAGTGCATCATCTTAAAGCCAAACTAATCTTACTAAGTTGACTAAAATTAGCCAATTACCTTTAGGAATGCTGAATAAAGCACTAATGCTAATTCCTATAGACAAGAGTCAAATTAGAAACTAGATTCATCCAACAAGAATTAGAAATCAAAACTAAGCAGCAACTGCCCCCTACCAAAGAGCTAACTTTCATCTAGTAGAACTCTCTAGAGATAGACTTCATACATAAATCCTGCTGACCTTACAAATTTAAAGAGTAGCCCTCCTTCTTAATCTCAAGTAGAAGAAACATTTGCCTAAATGGAATCGCCAACTACATAATCTAAAGATGAGTTTAGGAAATTTTTCTACTATAGTTCTGAAAATGGTCATAAGTTAGATATTAGGAATCTCAACCCGGATTCATTCAGATTAAAAGATCATTAGATCTTACTAAACACTAAAAATTCCAACTCAGATCAATCTCAAAAATAATCAAGCGGCTAATCCAATAAACTTTAGTAATCTGCAAATTCCCAATTCTAAATGACAGCTGATTTTACCCAACTCATAGCTGATAAATAATATGATCCTAACTACAATGATAATAGAGAGGATCTTTGTTCTTTAGGCATCTTCAAGTAAGGCCATGAGAACAAAACCAGTGAGCAAAAATAGCAACTAATGGTCACTTTTATGAACAACTTTTATCCTTGACTATTTATCTTAACTTAGAAAAAAATGAGTTAAACAAATTTATTCTTCATGGGTGTATGTCCCAATAAAGCAATAAGGGGTTTTGGGGTTTTGGGG